TAAAGCGGCTCTTGTTTTGCCAATCGCTTTGATTTTTCTCTTGATGTCCGCCGGAGAGTTGCCGGCGGTTGGGCTCACTTTTGGCCACAATTCAGACAATATGTTTAGTTATAATTCATAATTTAAGAAATAATTGCAATTAATAATTATACTTTTTCCTGATTTTTGTGACTTCTTGTCCGGACTCTTATCCGGTGACTTGTCTGGACTTATTTGCGGCGATTTATGCGGACTTTTGTGGGGAGAGAGTGCGGCCCTCACAGCACCGGTCGCTCGGATTTTCTTAATGGCAGCGCTTTTTGCTCTCAAATATGCAGTTTCTTCGTCTTCAGTCCTGTCCTCTAATCCACACAATATTTAGATATATTTTACATAAAAATAACTAAACATTTCTTCGCAAACCTTCGCTCTCTTCGACTAAGACCTCGTGTTTAGGCGACGACTTCCTATTGGGCGAGAAGAGGAGTGATGTCTGTCCGGCGGCCCTAATCTTCGAGCGGATCCTTTTGCTCGACGGCGAGACTAATGAAACAAAATCATTGATTAAATGAAATGATAGATATTTTCATAATCCATACGATGGGACTCGTCTTCGGACTCCTCTTCGCTCACTTCTATGATCTTCTTCGGCGACGATCTCTTCGGTGACTTTGGAGAGGGAGGCGTTTCGCGTCGTTTCGCTGAAGCCAAACGATGTATTGTATCGGTTGGACTCGGGGCTAACCACAGGGTTTAACAATGGGGTAAATATTGTCATCTAGTGTCTTATTAGGGATCCGATATTTATTATTTAATTAAATTAATTATAACATTACGTGTAATAAGTTTTGTGAGTATTTCTCCACCCCTTCTCTCCCGTCTCATAGTCTCGTCTTCAGTCTCTGAACCGCCGGTTTCGCTGTCATCTGAACCGCAATTCATAATCATATTCAGATGTTTATCAAAATAAAATATGTATTAATCGGGCCATACATTGAAACACCTCTTTGCCGGGCACGGCCAGCATCTCACTGTCCTGTTGAACCCACCGGCCTTTGCCAATACCCGCCACGTGACCGACCATTTTTGCCTTTTTCTTAAGCACCTGATTGAGTGGGACGGGTGTGAGTGTAAGCAACGGTACGTTTCGTTGGATGCGCTCCTTCTTCGGCGATCGCATGTACTGTTCCGCCTTCAGGACAGACACTTTGATCGGCGAATGTATGCCAGTCTTGATGGGCGACACCGGCAGCGATCGGCGCGGAGACGTGTGCGGCGAGTGCTTCGTAAACGACACCTGTTTCTGGTATTTATGCGTTACGGAAGTGATATGAATGGGTGTCGCGAATGAGTCCTAATAAAGTGATGGATTAGTGAACACAACAATTGTATTGTTTATTATTTCAAACACCACAAGAAAGAGAGACATGGGTTACGTTATAGCAAAGTGTCATACATCGAATCCGTACTTTTTACCCTCTTGGATCCATTTGCGCCACCACTTGGTCTTAGTGCGAGTCCTGATCTGTATGTTTTTGCTGCCCCTCTGAACGGCCACATAAACGGGCGACTTATTGATGGCCTGTTCGCGCATTCGGTGCACATCGCCGTCCGCCTCGTCTAACCGTGATTTCCATCGCTTAATGCGCGGACACGCGTGCCGTAGCTTACGGTTCAGTTCCGCCTCATCCGCGGCCGCCGTTGGGTTTACTCTAACCATATCTTACATTACATTGCATTACACTATTCTCTCACTGAATAACACAATACTTTGCCCGAAATGACTGAACAAAAGCTCAGATTTAAATAAATAACTTTTATTAAAATAATGCTTTCATTATAAATATTTGTTTATTGATTTAACGTTTGACAAATCAATATTTGATAGTGAATTATATATGGGTTAATGTCAATAATTGTATACTTGAAACACATATTGTGCTCTAATTAATAATAGATTCACTCTCTTATCTAATATTT